GAGTCTCCCCTGGGGAAACTATTAAGGAGAAGTCAGCCTTGCCAGATGTTTCTGTCCAGCTGGCCTAACTGGCATGTGCAAGGGCAGCTGCTTCTACTCAGGGCCTGGCATGGGAGAGAGAGCCCTAGGAGGGTGCTCCAGAAGGTGTGCCCCCAGTTTTCCTATTGTTTGCGTGGACAACAGGCAAGAGAGAAAATAGACTCAGCTACTAAAAAAGCCACAAGGAAACCAGTGAATGCCCTGAAACATTAACAGGTGAAGAGACTCTAAACTTTCCCATTGTAGTTGGGTCTGGGTTCAGTCTTGGGCCTAGTGGACTGAACATTGGGTAGTTAAAAACATACACACATGGGCAGCACCTGTGGCTCAAGGAGTAGGGTGCCAGCCCCATATACCAGAGGTGGCAGGTTCAAACCCGGCCCCGGCCAAAAACTGCAAACACACACACACCCTCCATTTGGAGCCAGTAAACTTGGATTCCTGAACCAACCTGCCCATAGATAAGTGAACTTAAATTTTCTAATAATCTCTCTGACACTCAGTTATAAGATAAAATTGTTTTTGTTCACCTCAGTCCATGTATGGCCATAAAACATATATAAGCACCTTGTGAACCACAAGGAAATGCTTTTCCTTCATTTTTTGGATGCAAAATTCAATTACTTTATTTTATTTTGTGAACTTTATTTTAATTTTTTTTTTTTTAATTTTATTCCTAACCAGAAACCTCTCTCCCAAGCTCACATTTCCAACTTTCTATTCTGCAGGTCTTCCTAGATGGCTCCTAGGTGTGCTGAGATGTCCACCCAGCCTTCCAGCTGCCAGAGAACTTGGCAAGCTGGCCCCGGCTGCATAAGCCTCCTCCAGGGTGCTGAGCACCCCTTTATATGACATTCCAGCTCATTATGCATCTGGCCCTCAAACTGACTTTATAAAAAGAGCAAACGTACACTCTTCTTTCAAAAGCCTCTTGCTGGCTTCTCTTTTCTGCCCATGATGATAACCTTTACCACTTGTGTAGGCTCCACGCATAAGCATCACCCTTGACATTTCTCTCCACTTCTCCCCACCATATTAATCACCATTTTGCTTTTTCCTTTTTATATCTTGGTGTCCCAACGAATGCAGGCTTGAACCCAGTTCCCCTCATGTGACCTGAAGGAACTTATTCCACCAGACTTGTGCCTGATGTTCTCACCTGTGAAATGAGAATATATGCTTTGCAGATCTGCAGTAAGAAATAATTAAGGTTGTGTTGACCAAATGGATGACATGTGTGAGCTTAGTTTTACCTTCCAGCTCAGAGGGATGTCCCCCTGATGTCCAGCTTTGCCCACCCTTTCCCATTCCTACCTCCACACCCTCAACCCTGTTCTTCATCTTGCCAGGACTCTCCTCTCCTTACCCCACCATCCTGCCTACCAGATCATGTGTGCATGCTTCCTTCACGCCCGCCCTTCAAATGCCACCTGCCTTTGGCACCTAGGAATGGTGCTTGCTTCTTTTGAACTGTAAGTGATTCTGTATTTCACAACTCATGAGGTAAGTGATGTTATTACCACAGAGTCTACTTTTGTATATGTCGTCTTTTCTCATGAACTTTCATGTTCATCTTCCCCACACATTCTATTTACTTAACAAAGGGCTTTTAAATGACTAAAAGGCAGATCAATCCACCAGTTAAACAGTGACTGGTGACTGGCTCTGGCACAGGCCTATGGAAAATTATTTAGAAGTGATGGAAAGATTTAAACAAAGGATAAGACACCAGAGACACTTCACATTTTGTGTGCTGATTTTTTAATGAACATCTTATACTCTTACAAAATAACTGGCTGTAGCTGTTTGACGTTACAATACAGTAGATCAGCTCCTTTCAGTACGTTTCCAATCAAGCAGTCCCCTTGGGTGCTAACTGATGCACTCAATAGTGATTGCACAGAACAAAGGAAGTGCCAAGTCCAATGCCTTGTGATAGAGAAAAGAGAACCAAGAAGAGCTCTTTACTTTCCTGCACTCCTTACTTTCGTTTTTGCTCGCATCTGCCCATTCTCCTCACCCTATCCTTTCATCTGTCTCTCTGATTGGAGGCTGTCATGTTAGTCCTTAGAGTCAGCCAGCCCTGGGAAATCTGGACACTAGAGCCCTGATTACTAGGAAAAGTTGGAAACAAAAGTGATTTTGTAACAACGAAAAAGAAAGAAGGGCTTCTGGGAGAGGTCCTCGGTGATACCACTGATGTGTCCAAGAGCAAAAGGCAGACTACCACACAGAGCAAGTGTGAGCCGACCTCCCTGGGATCTGTGGCCATGGGGTTTTACTCTTTCCCCTTACCAGTGGCCTAAGTTGCTCAGAATACAAGGCCCCGGGAACAGGGATGGAAAGAGCTTGCTGTCTCTGAGTGGCTGCCGTGGCTGCCCCTAATGAGGGCCGAGTGGCCTTTCACACACTCTAGGAACTCCTGTTGTTTTACCTTCTGAAGGCAGTGGTGAATGCGGGATGTTGCCAACAGAGATTAAAATGTTTTAAAGTCAAGTCTGCAGCAGCAGTGTTCTTACCATTACTTGTTTGGAAAGACCAAGCACAGACACACACTGCATGAACCACAGGCCGGATGATGAGGGGGCTGCAGCCTCCTGGAGCTGGGAAATGTCCAGAGTAACTTTTTCTTCTGCCTCCGTCTCAGACAGAGCAGGTATCCCCAAGAAGGAGCTTGACACATTTCTAGCAATTTGGATATTTTGCCCCAGTAAACAACTTTGCAGCATGTTTTCTTTTTTTCTTGGTAAAGAATCTAAACTTTTCCACTGACCTTTGCACATTGATACCTATCAGAATCTCAGAAATAAATATTTCCTGTCTTCTCGTGGGCAGTAAGAGGGAGCCATGACAATAAAAGTTATCTAGGCTATGGTTTCTCTTATGACGAGACCTATAGAGTTTTTGTTTTTGTTTGTATATGGGCAAACCCTGCTTTTCAGTTTCCCCAAGGACCTTGTCACTCTCATTCCACAAACCCACAGATCCATATGTGTCTGTAACTTTCTCCTTGTGTTTTCCACTTCTGAATATTGGTTTTCTCTTCCTGGTAGTGTGGATAATATTTTGATAGCCATGGGCGATATTCCCTATTCCTATTTGCAAAGAGTAGAAAAACTGTGGTCAGTGCAAAAAAGGCAGAAGAGAAGAGATGATGGCTGAGCTCTAAATTCTACCTGCTCTTGGTTCCCACTGGAGAAGAAACTTTGAGGGAGACAAGCCTCCCAGCCCTTTCTGAGATGATAAGACTGGGATGCTGAACGGAAATCAGCTCTTTACTCTCTTCCCCAAGGCCTAATCGAGAGACCTTGGCAAGAACATATACCTGCAACAGACCATATGCAGGAAAAGAAAAAGTGAGCTCTGGATGTAAAGAGTGGCAGGGTCATTGTGGTCATTTCATGTGCAGTCCCTCAGTTGGACAAGAAGGGGTAAAGACAACAAAATGGACCCTGGATAGTAGTTGACATTCTTCTGTCTCCCCACTGAGTGTCACCCTTGCTCCACGCATTTCCATAGCTTGCTTAAGTCAGTATCTGGTCCACAGAATTTATACATCACACTTAAATAGAAATGATCTCAAATTCTGCATTGCTTATAGAATCCACTTTGGTCTTGAAGCTTAGAAAAAAGACTGGGTCACTGTAAACTGTGTCCTCTCTGCACCCCCAGCCTCAACTTAACCTTGACTGCTCACCTCCCTGTGGTCTCTGCTGCCTTTTCCACCCAGGCCTGTTCTTTCTTTTCCCTAAGTCATTTCCTTAACCATTTTTGCCCCAGAAAATCATAATTGGTCATGTGGTTGTGAATAATAGCCAGGTCTGGGGACTTCTAACAAGGAATGAGGCCATTGGCTAAATGTGAAGAGTGGGGGAGTTTCTCTGACCTGGTGACCAGAGAGTGGCCCTTAATGCAAATTTCTGGCTGGCTGGCTGGCTGTTGGCCACACTTGGAACAGGCATAAGAAGGGCAGAAAAACCTGGGTCTCACCAACTCCTATTGAGAGTTCTGACAAATAGGGAAAAAAGTAATCTATTTGGGAGGAGTGGCGGGGGTGTTAGATACGCAAAAATTCTAATTCTTCTAGACCCATCACTAGTGGGCACTCATACCCAACCTCCCATGCCCTTTAGTGTTATCATTCCATCTCCCTATATCCTTCAAGTAGGCCTAGCTCCCAGGTCATAAAAAGATCATCGGCTGACATGCTAGCCTCCAGAATTCCATGCAATTACTCTCTCTCCTCCCTTCCCATTCAACCTGACAATCCTCAACAATAGAACGATGGCAGACACCTTGCCTTTCTGTCCTCAAACCCTCAGCATTCATGTTGAACGTGAACTTCACAGCAGCATGTGTGGAACAATGGATAATTTTTAGCTTAGTAAACAGCAAAAAATATAATATATATAATATATTTATATAATTATGTTTAAATACTTATAAAGAATTAATAACTAACTTCATTATTTAAAGAGACTACACAAAAGAAAGGGAAAGAACCAGGTGAGAGCAGATCAGCCCTGAAAGATGGCAATCCATTCAACGTGGGTATTAACAGAGTGTCCCTGCCAACACCTCTCCTAGCATTTTGGTATTAGTTTACAAGCTGGGTGGGCTGAAGAGTTGGCAGGGTGCAGAGTGGGGAGGAGGGCAAGAGCTGAGATGGAGTTGATTAGAATATAAATGGGGGAGGGTCCTTGTATATCTATCATATTTCTCCTTCCACTCTAATCAACTGCCACTTTACAGAAACTCTGCCTATGATTCTTCCCTTCTTGGGCTACTTGATGCACTAGTTGGCACCTGTAAATAACCCCCAGTGTTTCCTGTAAGATCCTTCACACTTTTCCTTCTTCCTCCATTTCATGACCTTCTTCATTCACCCTTCGCTTCCTCCCGTGTTGGCCTCTCTTTCTTTACTGCCTCTGAGCTGCAGAGGGAAGGGCTTAATCCCACAGTTACTGATTTTCTTCTGCCTTGGGGTCTCGGCAGGTGCATTCATCCAGGTCACAGTCAGCAGCAAATGGAATGACCTAGGGGAATGAAAGAGAAGTTGAAGTAACTCATTTTTGTGTGAGCTTTACACTCTTCAAATGCCTCTCACTTTGCTTACTTGGTCCCAGAGGATGTAGGACTATGAGTTACTATCAGACCTGAACTTAACACTCAGTTCTCCCACTGGCATGCCACGTCACTTAGACAAAGGAATCACTTTGCTTCACTTTCTTTATACAGAACAACAGAAACTATGCCAGAGAGTGTTAGTGTGGTTTAAATAAGGTGATGGGTATAAAACACGTAAACATCACCAAGCATCTATAACTTCTTTTCTACTACTTCTAAGATCACACTAATGTCTAAAACCACTGCTCTTATTGTTTTCATTGCTGTGGTCATCTTTGCAAGATTTCTGTAAAATAGGCAAGCAGTGCTATGTGAGCACATTCTCTTTACAGAGGGGGCCAAGAGAGGTTGTGTGACTTAACTCAGACTAACACCACCACTGTAAATGGAAAGTCAAGACCCTTCAGATTAGCACTCCAACTCCTACCCCTTAGTGTTCTTGGAACAATAGGATCATCTTTGCCATCTTCATAGACATGAGTTTTTGTCTTTAGTAAGCCCAGGATATACTTTCCCTTGATGTCCATCGCTTGTGGCTATATTGCCCTTCTTCTAGGCACTTAATCCCTTCCCCGGCCAGAGATGGCCCAACAGATGTCGCTTTCTTCTGCTTGTACTGCACCCAGCCCAGAAACATCACTTTTTGAGTGTCCAAAAGTAATATCAGCAAGAATTAGGCATTTGGGAGTCACAATGTAAAAGTGGCAAAGATTTTTCCCTTTCGGACATTAACAATCTAACGTGATAAAAATAAATAGGCATGTCCCGTCTAATACTGGTCCAAGCACACCAAAGACATGGGCTTGGTGATTGGGCAAGTGGATGGGAGCATGGGTGGAGTTGTTTGGGGAAATTTTCCAGCATATTTGCACATATTAAGTAAAATGTGATTTAGGAGTCAACAGAGGGGTAAAGTGCTGTTTCAAATCTTGATTTTTGTGTATGCTGGCCACAGACACTGAAAGTCATTATAGACAAACTCAAGATTTGCAGAGCATGAGATGAGGAGAAAACTTCTTGCTTTCTCCCTGAGGGATCAATGCCTTCCTGTATAGAGATAGCTGGCCTGATTTCTGACCTATGGCCCAGGCTTTTGATCTGTTTCTCTTAGTTCAAGATTTATTGGTTTTTAGAGCAAAAACAGGCCAAATTGAATAGTGATATAATGAGCCCCCAAGTGATCTGCATTAAATAAGTTAATTGACGTAAGTGGTGAGAACAGTGCCTGGCACATAGTGAGTAAATATTAGCAGTTAAGAGAGAAAGTATTCTGGTCAGCATGTCAGTGATCATGGTATGTGTGGCTTTATCATAGAGACATGTACAAAGAAGGAAATAACATCTCTTACGTATTTCCAATTTATCAAATTAGCCAACTGGCTTCAAATATCTTTGGGGCACTTGGATGTTTACTCACATTATTACACAATTTTAGTCTATTCAATTTTATAGGCTTAACTTGAGCCTATCTGCTAATATTGCGGAGCCAAGAGTAATAGGGATAAAGGGCATCAAGAAAAGATTACTGCCTAGGGTATAAACCAGAGAGTGCTCTGGGTGGCTGGTGGCAGCCATTCAACATGTGCCTGCAACATGCTCATGACACACCATGTAAGACTATTAATTCAATTATGAAGATGAATAGTAACTGGATAGCACTTCACTGGTAATCCTGCTTCCGAGGGGTGAACACCATTATTTTCCCGGACTGCAGATTAGTTTCCTGGACAATGACAAGCAGGCTTGAGCCTTTCAGTAGCAAAAGTCATGGCTTTTCTGAACGAGTCACAGGATGGATAATTATAAAATAGCGTTTCCTAAAGACCTACACTACCCTTAATCCTGTCACTTTAGAAGCTCTGCTGCTTGTTCATTATAGTTCTTGACTGTTGAATTAAAACCAATTAGGATCTTCCATGAAGGAAAGTGAGCCCAAGACCCCACCTTATTCCTGGAGCTCCTGATCACCCCCATTCCTGGGTCTTTCACTTACCTTCTTAGAGGAGAGTGTGGAAGAGCAGCAGTCCCCCCCATCATAGTGGCAGTACGCCCGGTTGTTGATAGTGTCACACCAGCCGTCTGCTTGAAAAGGCTGTAAGGAGGGTGGAAGTCAGTGGCTCCATGCAGTTTCAGGATGCCCTGCCCTGCTCTCCCACTCCTCCTACCATAATCTATACAATTCCAAAGACTCTATGGAGAACACCCAAGGGGCAGGATACAAATTGACCTAACATTCTCAAGAAGTTGAAAAATCTCAAGAATGTGGACTAAGCCCAAGGAATTGTCAAATTTCACCTGCAGCACCTGTTCCTGGCCTACTAGAAGGTCTGGGATGAGCCATTTTAAGCTCTTTGATCAACTTGTTCACCTTCTTGTAATAAAAGGTCTTTGTATCATGTAGGTTGCAAAACATGTTCACACATTTTAACTATTGATCATCAGAGAAAGCCTTTGTATTGGACAAGACTGTTATTAAAAGTCCCACCTTATGAATGAAGAAATAGGGATAGATAGAGATAGTCAGAATCTTCCAGGGTCACATCACTAGGGTGGGACAGAGTTTGGCATTAGATGCCAAGATGCCTGCCACACATCTTGGCTTTGAGCTGCTTTTCCCATTTTAAGGACTGCAACCTCTGTCCCTTCTCCTGGTACGCAAAGACTGATACTTAAGAGTTCTTATAGTCTCTGGGCCCTGTGAAGATACAAGTGATGTCTGCCCAGCATGCGTGGTCCCAAGGTTGAGGACACCACTGCTGAACCAGAAATATTCCCACATGTGCACCTACCTCGGGCATAGCAGCTAGATATGGGGTCAGAGCAGAAAAAGCTAAAGTGTCTCCATCTACTCTTGTTACTGCTGCAAGTTAATAGGAACCAAAATGGGAAAGACGGCCCAGCCAAACCAGAGTTAATGGAGTGTTTCACCCCAAAAGAGAATGTATGATAAGAACAGCAATAGGCAGTTAAAAAATAGCCCAGCAGTGCAATGTACTGTTTCTCCAGAAAACCACCTCTGGAAGGAGATACTGCCCCACAGCATGCAGGAAGACACGTTAGCCAGCCCACCTACTCGATAACATTGGCCATTCCCCATCCTGAGCTGATGCCCAACCGCAAAGCCTCAGGGAACGTCTCATGGTCAAACGCTTAGGGCCACAGGAATTTTGAGTTCCGAGGCCACCTTCCAGTTTACATGTTCAAATCACTTTCTTCCCCCCTCCACACTCTCCTTAAATGTCAAATAGAAGGACTGTTCCTTATTTCACTATGCTTTGATGAGATAGATCACTCAACTCAAAAATGGCCATTAAATAATTTCAGCAATTGAGTTACGTCAGAACAAGCTCATCCAAGTTATTACTTCAATGTTTTGATTTATTCTATGGGGTCTTGAGGTCATTTGAACATCATTCCAGATGGATACCAGTTTGCCAACCGCTGAAAAGCTGCTACTTGTGGGGTGGAACTCAACAGCTGTTGCACAGCTGTACAGCAATGTCAGTTGAGATCAGGAAGTGCAAATGAATTCTGTTTTCAACACAGGCCTCACTGGGATAAAAGACAAGGATTTCGAGATGAACATTTGTCTGTAACACTGGAACCAGTTATTCTGATTCTAGAGAACTTTGAATCACTATACAATCAAAAAATGGGTCCAAAATGGCAGCCAAATAACAGAAGTCAAAAGATGACTAGTGTGTTCTTAACACGTATACATGGGCTCAGGTCCTTGTGGGAGGACCAGAGACAGCTACTGAGATTCCAGAGTGTTTTTTTTTCTTTTTCAGTGTTTGGAGTATATTTTACTCATCTAACACTACATCTGTTACTTTTCCTCCAATGCTGACTGACTCATTGGCAAAATTTAATAAGTTCCTCCTTTCTTTTCCTTGTAATTGTCCATAAAAATCTGAAAAAACACCCCCAAATACATTTCCTACATATAGATGTATGGTGTTCAGAATAGAGGATTAAAGATAGATCTAAAGATAATCTTCCTTTTCTTAAGAATAACCTAAATATTTGAATAGATTAGTAAAGGATCACCAGGGAATTTTTCTTTCTAAAGTTTTCACCAAGGATGACTTCTCAGCCCAGAAAGTTTAGGGAAGGCAACAACGGCCTGGGTGACTTTCTCTGGGTCCCACCAGATTTCTGTGGCTATTGATTGGGAATGATTTCTTCAAGATCCTTCTTTTCTGCTCTTAAAGAGTCATCAGGAAAAAGAAGGGAATTTATGAAAAAGAACAGAAATACAGAGAAAAGTCTGGAAAGACTCAAATGTTTAATTTACTATATACCTATTAGAATTAATTGCTCCTCCCCCAACCTGCCAAAAACAACCACTCCACCCTCAACAAACAGAGTCTCCTATGGCAACATGGGCCTGGGAAGCTCCACAGTTTGAGTCCAAAGTTATAACGAAAAAATAGAAAAGGAAAAATGACTAATTGATCCAAAATTTAAAAATATCTGAAGACTGGATGTAGACTAGGATATTTTAATCTCAGTAATTGAAAGATATCGGACTTAGGACATCACTCCTCCCTGCAAGAAACTTTTCCCAGGGAGGATACCAGGTCTGGTTTCTCTGCACACTGTGTACGTAAGGGACTTTCACCACCTGTATGTATGCCTTGTTTATCCCATGACATTAGAAAACAAAGTGTTCTGTGTAAGCATATTTTTTAAATACCCCAAACATATTCCCTAAGGGGGTCACTTTTTTTTATTTTATCCATTTTGAGAAAAGAAAAAATCTTTATAAAATACCTGTTTCCTAGACTATTAACAAGTGTAGGACACAGGTCATTAACATGAACATTTATTACTTTCACTGTCCAGTAAGGTTCTCTGCTGTGTTATATGTGCCTACCTACCCCAACATACATACATGTGTAGACACATACACACACACACACCCCCTTTAAGCATGCTTTATCTCTGAGCCAGGAAGTCAAGCCCTTAGAATTATAACCTTAGAAGTAAATACCTAAATCTGAGGGAGAGCTTGGGTGACTCTTCTTATGATGTATGAGATTTATAATTCCTACTTTAGTTGTTATAAGAAGGCTTTTCTTGTCAGTCTACTGGTATTAGCTGTGTTCCAGGCAGCTGAAATGGCCAAATAAATGTGTTCAAGTAACAGAATATGAAAAGGGGAGGCTGTGATTCTATCCCACCTATACCATTTTGGAAACTTCCCAAGAGCAAGCATAATTTCTTCTTTATGTTATGTAATCTAGTGATCTGTTTTAAGGTTGTTGTGGGGAGTTAGCCATAAAGATGGCTGCCCTATCTCTGTTGTCTATTGGGTAGAGTCATTCATTCAACCACTCAACAATATTTATTCCAAACTAGGTACTGTTGTAGGGACACATGGATAAATAAAATATGGCTTCTGCCCTTGAGGGAACCCAGTGTAAGCAATTTTAGCTCTGTGTGATAGCTCAGTGCTGGTATCAAGATGTGAACAGGAGAGAACTTAATCCAGATTTTTGGGGTGGGAGGAATCTGTTTTCAGGAGCTGGCTCCACTACTTCTAGCCTCAATGGAGAAGAACTTAGGACTGGATGATTGTGAGGGAAAGAAGAGTCTGAGAGACTAAGAGAAGAGAAGGGTGAAAATAGAGGCTGGGTGGTCCCAGGTGGTCTGTCACATACCCAACCCTCAGGAAGAGTTCCATAAACTTTGACTGATTGATGGATAATATCTCTCTTACTAATGAGACTAAGAACATATTTTTCTCCTGAAGCTTACAACCAAACTCAAGGTGTAATTGACGTTTTAGAAAGGTTAGTTTGAACTGGAGAACTGCTCTGATCATCTACTGCTCAGGATCTCAGCCCCCAATGACCATATCCCTATAGGTAAGGCATGGGACAGAATCCTGTTTTATTACCTCAAGGAATATTTTAGAGCAGGAGATGCTAATCAAATGTTTGCCCGGTGTTGACCACTATTTTCTCTTTTGCACATCATTTCTGAACAAACCTTTGAGTTATATGAATAGGACATAAGACCCGCATCCATTTCTTCATATTGATTAGGTTCCATCAAGCCCTAAAGAAGCTCTTTTCCAAAGCACCCAGTGGAGGATTTGCAGCAGATGGAGGCTCTATGTGAATGAACACAATAATTTTCTCTTTTTCTCTGGCTCTTCAATGAATGGATCTTCCTTCTCCTTATCCCATGGTTCTACCTGCTGAGTTTCATATCCAAAGACTGCAAAGAACATCAAAGGTAGAGCCCTACTGCAAAGTACTTCTTAGGATCTCAGGGACAGAATTTGGGAAGCCTTTGAGACCCTGTAGGGCCTCCTGATAATAAGAACACTACTTGCTTATCAAAATGGTAAAAGATGACCGGTACTAGAGAGGATGTGGAGCAAAGAGAACCCTAGCACACTGTTGGGAAGGTAAATATATGATTCAGCCATCACACTACTGGGGATATATCCAAAGGAAATAAAATCGGCATGTCAGAGAGAGTTATTATAAAGGGCTGTGAAGACTATTTAGGACAAAATTTTTATTTTACAAATGATTAAATGAAGCCTTGAAAGGTAAATGGTCTTCTTTTCAAGGTAGAAGAAATTCTGGAAGCAGAGCCCGGATGCCGGGATGGCTCTTCCTGATCTGATGTTCTTCCTGCTATACCATGCTACCACTGTCTATGATTTCATTAGTTTTTTAATTTTAGGGGAAATAAAGGTTAACTTAAATTCCTTTGGTACCTCTATCACAATGGCTGAGGTACAGGGTCATTAATATGAAGTGACCCAGTAATCCAACACAGAGACAAAGAATATGTGTGTACATGAAATCTCAGTCCCACTGGATCCCCACAACCTCATTTTTGTTATCTCAGTTGTGGATCCCAGAGTGCTGGGATTACAGGCATGAGCCAACAGAGCTGGCTGGAATAGTTTCTTAGATACACTCTCCTCAGGGAATTTTCATCTGGTTTTCTGGACCCAGAGAGTTCTCCCTTCTCTGAGTAATAGTGTATTTTAGCCATACATTAATTCTAGGCCATAACACTCTGCTTGTACTCTCAAAGGCACAGGATCTAATCATCTTTGTAGTC